AATTATCTACTATGTAATGTTGATCAACCTTTTTCTTATCATCTCAAGATGTAATCCCTTACTACCCTGATAGACACATTAATCAGAAACTCCAATCCCTTGGTGATTCCTTTCTTAATACATGCATTAATTACTAAGGTCTTAAGATCACATCAGAATCCTAGCATCAATCCATTGAATCAGACTACAAAGCACTCTACTCAGACGTAATACAAATAATAACAAGAGAAGAAGAAGAGAGATCAAACTTCATTGTCATGATAGTTGAGTCTTCAATCTTCAAGTACAATTACATGAAAGTATACTAACTATTACAATACTAAGTCCTAAGAATTTGGGAAGTCAGAGAAAATGAGGAGTTAGATCAAATCTATGAAAGACCTGATCTGATCTCCCTTCTCCTAGTGTTATGGGAAAAGTCAGAATGAGATATGATAGGATTCGATTGTGTGTCAGAGTATGAAGGCCCCTTGTCCTTTTATAGTTTACAAATTACAACTGAAAACTGACTTGGGCGCTAAAACGTTCACTTGTGGACGTTTTAGCGTCCAACTTTGACGGATGTCCAACTGCTTTCAACTGTCTTGGGCGCTAAAATGTTCAATTTGGGCGTTTTAGCGCTCACGACTAGAACCTTTTTGCACATCCGAGCGCTAAAACGCTTGACTTGGCCGTTTTAGCGCTCAGCACCAGCACTTTTTGGCTTCATTTTGCAGCAGGGAGCTAAAACTCTTGACTTTGGGCGTTTTAGCGCCCAACACTTAGAATTTTTCCATTCTTCAGAATCTTCTTCCTTCACTCTTTTGCTTCTTTGAGCTTCAATTCCCTACAAGAACAATGTAAATTTTCAATACAACTTCCAGAACTTGTATTTAGGAATTTATAGGACATTGACCTCTTTTTCATCCATTTAATCACACAAATTTATACTAATTTATGCTCAAAAACCTGATGAACTAAGGGTTCATCACAATACAATTATACACATAAATCACATACAAAACATCAATTCAATGCTTGAACATAATCAAATACATGATTATTAGCAATCAATATACCAAGGACTCAATTTTATGAACTTACCCTCTTCTTGATCCAATGCTTAATCCATCATCAAGCTATCACTTGGTCTCAAAGTACACAATCAAACAACCAATAGTCTACTATCAAATATCTATTCCAAGCCTTAAAAACACAAGAGTTCAACACTTTTTCATGACCTAAATTTAAACATGATACAAAGGTGACTCAAATGATTGTTTCAACATTTTTTTCACCATTAAACTTCTTCTTTAACACTTCTTCCTCAACATGTTTCTATTCATTAATAAACTTGGGAACCAATGAGTAACGACATAACTTTAAAGACAAAGGTAAAGAAATTCTTTGTCGTGTAACTTTCGAACCACATGTTTCGAAATAATATTTTTTGTTTGGTAAGTCCCAACATGCATATTCATAGTGTATTCACAACATAACAAACATGTTTAGCTTTTCGTTCTGATTAATAAATGTGGAACTCGCTAGATAATGACATATATTATAATGGTCTTATGATAAAGAAATTCTAGGTCGGGTATATTTGTTTTTGATTTTGGATACTAAGAAAGTTCGATTACGACAATTAGTACCAATTAAAACCATAACAAACAAGTCTGACTTGTTTTTATTAGTACCAATTACAAGATAAATCTTAGTTGTGTAACTCCTAACCCACACATTTTGAAATAATTTTTTTTTTGATATGTCCCGTCATGCATATTCATAATGTATTTACAACAGAAAGAACATGTTTATCCTTTTTTCCTGATTAATAAATGTGGAACTGGCTAAATAATGACACAAATTATAATGGTCTTGTGATAAAGAAATTCTAGGTCGGGTATGTTTGTTTTAAATTTTGGATACTAGGAAAGTTCGATTACGACAATTAGTACCAATTAACACCATAAGAAACATGTCTTGTTTTTATTAAAAAAATGTGAGAATTGGTCAATGGTGATTGTAACAATAGCATCCAAAGGTAGAAAAATTCTTTGTCAAGTAAGTTTTGTCCTGCATGTTTGGAATTAATTCATACCGCAACGAACGTATTTCATTTTATTTCTTGATTAAAAATTGCGAGACCCATTGAACGATATTGTAATTATAACGATTCTTAGGTAGAAAATTTTTTTGTCAAGGTATTTGTCGTGTAACTCCTGAACCCACACGTTTTGAAATAAATTTTTTCGCTTGGTATGTCATGACATGCATATTCATAATGTATTCACAACATAACGAGCATGTTTATCTTTTCTTCCTGATTAATAAATGTTGAACTCGCTAAATAATGACACAGATTATAAAGGATGTTGCGATAAAGAAATTCTTGGTCGGGTATGTTAGTTTTCTATTTTGGACGCTTCAAAAGTTTCAATTACGGTACCATAACAAACATGTTTAATTAGCTTGTTTTCTTGATTAATAAATGTGAGACTTGATGAATAACGGCCATAAAATAACAATCCAGGTAGAGAAATTTTTTGTCCAGTTTCAGCCCTATGTTTAGAATTAACTCAAATCATTATGATCATATTTGACTTGTTTTCCTCATTGATAAACTTGATACTTGTTGAATGACGACCATAACTATAATGTTCCAAAGGGAGATGAATTTCTTGTTAGGTGCATGTGTTTGTTTTAGATTTTGAATGCTTCAAAAGTTCAATTATAGGTTAGAATCAATTTACTCAATAACAAATATGTTTGGCTTTTCTTTTGATTAATAAATATGGATCTCGATGAACAACAACCATAACTATAATGACTAAGATGATGAAATTCTTTTTCGGGTAAATTATTACCCTCACATTTAGAATTAACTAGTATATTAGGGAAAAAAGATCAAAAATTTTATCGTCCGCCGGGGTTGGTTAATCGCACTGCAAATCTTATATTTACATAAAAACTGTGTCGTTATTTTGTTCTATATTTCAGGTGAAAAAAATTACAGCATTGATACAAAGCTTTGCAAATATCAATCACAAACAAAAATCTGTTATTCAGAGGGATATTTAATTTTGCATACAACTACATATAATACACCATAATACACCATAATACACCATGTTAACATGAGAAAGTGATATAAAAAGAAAAATGCGTACAAATCATTGCTAACTATAACATTCATAAACAAAATCAAGGTAACAATAACACCAAGCAAATATGGATTTAAAATATCAACTTTTACCTATAATATGAAAACGCTATTCATTCAGTGTCATTTCTTAGCAATCATTGGAGGGATGAGTTCAACACTTACTAAATATGTCATTTCTTGTGTGATTTTTGTTCCTTGTGCCTACAATACAGAAGGCAAAAACTAATTAAATAAGTAACACTAATATGTTAACATCCAAAAGTCATAGTATTAGCAAAAAAAAAAAGATTGGATTAAATTTTTTTAAGGACCAAACAAAATGTTGTCTGAACGGGATTTGAATGCAACTTAATCAAATAAGCATTATAAGTCATATTTTTTGCTTACATTGCAATAATGCATATGAACAGAATCAAAGCAACTACACTAATCTTTGAGATGGACTTTCATTTATTGCAATCACATTTAAAAAATAATAATAAATAATTATTATTTGCAAGGATTTGTGTCCTTAGCATTTGAAATTTTACAAATTTGTATTTACAAAAATTAAAATCAGATTTAGGAATTTAATTATAAAAGAAGAAGGATGAAATTTTAATTTAATTATAAAAATGTGTTTGTGGGTCGGCCCTCCGGGCCGAGTCCAGTTTGCCACCTCTAACTATCAGCATGTAAAAGTTTTTTATATTTATCCACAAAAAAACATTTTTATAGTTGCGTCTAGGTTTTTATTTTTTATCTCAGAGATGAACTTTCATTTACTACAATCAGATTTATAAAATAATAATAAATAATTATTTTTTTGAAAGGATTTGTGTCGTTAGTCTTTGGAATTTCACAAATTTATATTTACAAAAATTGAAATCAAATTTAGTAATTTAATTATAAAAGAAGAAGGATAAAATTATTAACCAAAAAAAAAAAAAAAGGATAAAATTTCAGTTGAATTATAAAGATATATTAGTGGGCCAACCCTCCGGGTCGAGCCCAGTTTTCCACCTCTTAACTTTCAGCATTTTATATAAATAATTTTTTTTGCAAGGATTAGTGTCGTTAGTCTTTGAAATTTCACAAATTTGTATTTATAAAAATTGAAATCAGCACATATTGTGTTTTCAAGTTTGTGCTTTTTGGCAGCTATCTCGCATTGGGTCTATTTTTTTTCTATTATAATAGAGGATAGGTTAATATAGATATAATATAACTAATATATATAATAACTAATACTAATTAAAGGCGTCCAAAGTTGATTTTTCTTGAAATAAATAATTCTTTTTGTTTTGTAAATTGAATACATGGTTTCTTTTATTTCTTTTTGTTTTGTAAATTGAAAACAAGATTTGATTTCTGTTGTCAATGTTCGGAGCATTTTCTTGTCTGTTGGGAGCAGAGAAATAGTAAGAGACTTTTCAGTGAATTCTTCTTCTTTGAGTTTCTTCTTCTCCCTTTCTCAGGTAATCTTGGCTCGCTCTCCATGCTTTGTCTTTATTTTCGTTTTTCTTCTCTGAATTCTTGTTTGTTTTGTAAATTGAAAACAAGGTTTCTTTGAATTCTTGTTTGTTTTGTAAATTTTTCTTCTGTGGATGAGCCTCTTGCTCAACCACTGATGTCTCTGCAGATGCTACTTCTTTGTCTTTCTGTCCCTCTCCTTGTTGTTGCCTAGGAGAGGGTTGTGGGGTGATTTGTTGTGGTGGAGAGTGAATAGGTGGTGGGGACGCAATGTCAGAAAATGTAGAGTCTGAGCTGCTTGGGGACGTCTCCTTGGCAGCTGGTTTGGTTACTGACAACTGTTAGTGAATAGGAATCAATTTATTATGGTACAATTTTGATGTAACTCAGCAAACCCCCTAATTATACAACAATGTTGTAACTATCACTACAAGAAAAATAAAAAATAAATAAAAATAATAATATTAATACAAAATTAAAAATCAATTTCTTGGCACCATATATGTAGATTTAATCAGAATAAATGCAGAAACAAAAACACCATGCAAAAAATTTACTCTAACTCCGTCCAAGCTGGATTTAGATCCCGTGAGGTTTGGCCTTGCCATCTGTAAAACAAACAATTAGATCATTCACAAGCACATTTCATTACAGATAATGCAAAGGTGTGTCTGATTTAAATAGAGAGATGCTATTTGTTCCACCAGTCCCAAAAGCAAGAACAAAGTGCACAAATAAAAGAATTACTACAAATCACATGTTAAATGATAACTTCCATAAACCTTGAAAGAAGAAATCTTGCAAGTGGGCTTAAATTGCTATTTGAATGAACTTCCTTGTTCTGTTATTTCTTCCTGTTATCAGGCTCTGCATTTCGGGTTTCTTCAGTTGAATTGGTTTTGCTGAATATTTGGCCTGCCAGTTCTTGCGGATCCTTCAATGAAGACTCCTTTGAACTGCACAATGTGTTTTAATTTGGGGTTTATAAATTATGATTTTTAAGAGATACACATTATGTAACGCCCGATCACTTGCAAGAATCAATGACTGTCCCCACACACTAACACGAGACTTTTCAGTGTGTTTTGTCCTCACTCGCACACTTCCCGGGAAAACTTTCCAGCAGATCACCCATCCCAGAATTGCTCCAAGTCAAGCACGCTTAACTGTGGAGTTCTTCCGATCCGGGCTACCGAAAAGTAGATGCATCTTGTTAGTATAGATAGCACCAATTAATTTTTATAAGTCATTCCTAACTGTACCGTCCCATACCAGCACAGTCTCTGGAATCTCTCTCTTTCGGGTGTTGATTCAATTAATTCATGAACCCCCAAGCTGCAAGATTTGGCATGAGCCGCTCATTGTCTGTGCCCTTTCGCACCGGCGATCACTCCCTGCCCTTGTCAGCTCTTGGGATGTTACACATTAATTTTCCTTTACTGTGCTACATGATGAATTTTAGTAGAGTGCATACCTTGCCAACCGCTGAAGCAACTTTTTGACAAAGGCATCGCAGGTTCTAGGCTTTGTCCTCTCCATGTTTACAAGTGAGTTGATAACAAATTGCACGACCGACCCTTCTGGATCATCAGCAATGGCCTACATAATAAACAGAAATATGCTATGACAAAATTCATAACAGATCAAATCTATTCTAGCTTTAAGTTGCAACAGCATACAACAGTTTGTAAGCAGCTAAAACATTATCATACTCTGATATCAACTTCCAACAAGGAAACTTAACCTCATTAGCAGGTTTCCTTTCTCTTTTTAGAATACACTACTTTCTATGAGATTACAAAAAGTCATCAGGTAAGCGATTATAAATTTTATTTTATTTTTCCTGAAAAGTCAAAGGTTTATCATGATCTAGCCTCTTTTCCACATAAATCAATGCCTTAGTCTTTCCAGCATAAAGAATCCAAATAATTCAGAAAAGAATCCAAATAAAAAAAATACTTATATCTATTTACCAAAAAATAAATAAATAAAATACTTATATCTGAAATAATTCTAATTGGGGAACCTTGCTTACTTTTCAATAACCTTCTGCACATTGCAAGCAGTTCTATTTGGCATCACAAACTAATTTAGAACAAAAGCAAGACATAACACAATTAGAATAAAACCTATATGTGGATTTACCTCTTTTAATGAAGGAATAAACAAAACAGATAACGGCAGAGAGGATGACATTATTTTGGAACTTTCTTCATCATCACTAGCATAATGAGACCTTAAAAGTCCTTTCTGTGAATCAATGTATTCACGAGATGGTCTGAAAAAATATTCCTTCAAAATTACAATCACAATTTTATTTCAGCAGCAAAAAATTGACCAGCATTATGGCCGTGGATGTACCTGGAAGAATCAGAGCTGCTTGACATTTCATCTCTCCTGCTTTCCTGTACATCATTGTTGAGTTTTCCAAGTGCAAATCTCTCTCGAGCATTCACTTTCTTTAATCCTCCTTGGATAGCAATATGATCAATATGATCAATATGATCAAGTGGCTTAAGAAAATTATTTTAAGGATATAAGTGATTTGAATATGATCAAGTAATAAAATTACTTCTAAGTAATCACAAACTTGTCAAATATCCAACAGTAAAAATATAAATCAAACCATAAAAGAACAAAAAATAATTCGACAATTGTGCTTAAAAAAAGGTTTAAGAAACAAATAGAAATTAAAAGTACTTAAAATATATGGGGCAACATTGGAAACATGTAACATGGGAAAAAAATTAATATAATGTTGACTCTTTCCAAAGATAAAAAACATCACTGAACTAAACCTACAAACAGCAAAGAGGGAAAAAAAAAAAGCCTCGCCATGCCCCCAATTAATTAGCAAACATAGTAAATTCTCAGCTTAGATAAAAGAAAAAAAATAGAACCTCAGCAAGATTTGTAGCACTATCTTCCAGTGAGGCATTTGAATTTCTGCTATTAAGTCCCAGTCGGGACCTTGGTGTCTGTGGAGAATCAGAATCATCATCCTGACTACGCAAAACAACAGTTCCACTGGTAGAAGAATCTTCAAAAGAAGCATAGCTGCTGCTAGACTACATGACAATAAGATTCCAAGTGACTACACAGAAATAATTATAACTAACCAGTTTTGAATCAAAGAAACTCAGCTTGAAAAATACCAGAGAACTTTGGTCACGAAACAGTGATGGCTGTGATCCTTTGAGAGGCCTAACAACAACAGTTCCTGATCCATTCCCAGACAATTCATCCTGAAAATTGACAAGTTCAGTAGACGAAAGCATGTTCTGTTAGAATTCAAACTCAACTTGATTTCATCTACCGTCCACCTAGAAAACTACAATCCATGGGCTGTAATTTGATAGAGAAAAGAAAGTTTTTCCACGTGAATTATTTGGTGAAATGAATGGTCAAAAGTGGTTGGGAAAGTAAGTCCAAACAAAAGGGGAAAACAAAATGAATTTGCAACATTGCTGGCCATGACAGTGTCGGCAGCATATATAAGATCTTTGTATCATTGGATTTTTGTAGCCACCATATCAGCCGAAAATCTTGGCTTATTTGCGCGCGCGCACACATATATATATATATATATAGAAGTGTAAGAGAATAAAAAAATAAAAATAAGAGTAGCAAGTGTATGTCTTAGAAAGAAGTGTTGCAACACTAGTTGTAATTTGAGACGAGAGAAAGTGACGTAGCACTTAGATGAAAAACAAATAGAGAGAAAGAGAGTGATTGAGATTAAAAAAAAAAAGGATTCGTAGTAAGTTAAGATTTCTTGTATTGTATTTGTGTGTTTGTAAGGGTGTGCATGACAATCATTCCATTTCCTGCTTATGACAAGAAACAATTATTGTCTATTTCTGTGACTTGGAACAGTTTTTGAGAAAAAAAAATGTGATTATCTAGTCCGTTTGACAATTCATGGAGAGCTAAAAGACCATTTCAACTAGTTCACTCGGATATAGCTAGTCCGTTTGGTATTCCATCGCTTGGAGGAAACAGGTATTATATCACCTGTAACATCCCCAACCTCGAGCCGGTTCAATTAACATACATATGATGCTTAACAAAAACAGCGGAAGACTTAAACTTAAGAAAATACAAGCTAACTTTTTCTTTTTCCCTTTTAATTCTCCTTAGGCGTAAACGAAAATCGGACAGAGTAACCTCTGTAAATCGGACAACTAGGGATCTTCCAATCCCACCCTCAAGAGTTCCTGATAGACAGTTTAAACAATATATATATCCGGAAGTACCAGTCTTGCAAATATACTCAAATACCCATCCATGGGCGCATGCAGAACTTGGCTCCGTGCCACTAATCTAATAGCATGCAATCCAATACATAACATAACTGAATACTACATAGTCATATCAACATGCCTGAATACACAAATGTACATGCATCGAATATGAACACTATACAACAATACATCTTTTCAAAAAATACGTCTAAAATAAATAGTGGCCTCCAGCCACCCAGAACTCCACATCCTCATACTAGTACCTCTAGCCACGGTTAGTGTCCTTGTCCCATGAGGCTCTTCAATTAACTGTGTTCCTGAAATCATATCCCCAAATGGGGTTAGAGACGAATCTCTAGTAAACTCCACGTTTATGGAAAACTCTTCATACCCTGGGCTCACTTCCTGCATGATAGTCAGATACATAATATACAAAACATCATATAAGCAATTATCATAACTGAACAAAGCATATATACATATCTTATCAAAGACATACGCAGTCATTCCCAAGGGATGACCCCAAGTGGAAATCAACGCACGTAACAAATATCATTTACGACATCATCACAATACTTACATAAGAACAAAACATGTTATATCAGAGACGTACGCAATAGTTCCTAAGGGATGACCCCAAGCGGAAATCAACGTACGTAACAAATATCATTTACAAAATCATCATACATATCACATAAAACATGTCATATAATCAAATATCATAACTAAACAAAACATATACACATATCTTATCAGAGACGTACGCAGTTATACCCAAGGGATGACCCCAAGCGGAAATCAACGTACGTGTTCCCCAAGGGAGTACCCCAAGCGGAAACAACATATCAGATATGTACACAGTCAATCCCTAGGGATGACCCCAACCAAAACATATATTCACTGAGCAAAACATATATACAAATCTTATCAAAGGCGTACGCAGTCATTCCCAAGGGAGGACCCCAAGCGGAAATCAACGCACGTGTTCCCAAGGGAGGACCCCAAGCGGAACCAGAACATATCAGAGGCGTACGCAGTCATTCCCAAGGGAGGACCCCAAGCGAAAATCAACGCACGTGTTCCCAAGGGAGGACCCCAAGCGGAACTAGAACATATTAGAGGCGTACGCAGTCATTCCCAAGGGAGGACCCCAAACGGAAATCAACGCACGTATTCCCAAGGGAGGACCCCAAGCGGAAATCAACGCACGTGTTCCCAAGGGAGGACCCCAAGCGGAACCAGAACATATCAGAAGCGTACGCAGTCATTCCCAAGGGAGGACCCCAAACGAAAATCAACGCACGTGTTCCCAAGGGAGGACCCCAAGCGGAACTAGAACATATTAGAGGCGTACGCAGTCATTCCCAAGGGAGGACCCCAAACGGAAATCAACGCACGTATTCCCAAGGGAGGACCCCAAGCGGAACCAGAACATATCAGAGGCGTGCACCGTCAATCTCAGAGGAACCCAAGAAGACATCAGTGTACCATACAAATCAATCTCAGCCAAAGATCAATACAGAAATCATATCAGAACAAGTCATATAACAAATGTGTACACAGTCAATCCCAGGGGAGGACCCCAAGTGGGAATCAGTGTACGTGTTCTCAAGGGTGGACCCTAAGCGGAACTCAACAAAACATATCATATTAACACATATCAAAGTAAACACATCAAAACATATCATATTATCATATGGCTCTATATGAATGCATCTATATCATATATCTCATACATATCATACAACCTGACTACAGTCCGTACACTATGGCGAAACACAAAGTAGGAGTGAACCCTATAAACATAGAGCTTACCTTTTGAAGCTTTACCACTTTGTTCACTCGTAACACAAGTTACATATTTAGCTCCAAACGAATCCAAGACGCTCAGTCCCTAGGCACACCTAGGAAAGAATCCAAAACAAAACTCCATAAAATGTTAAAATGCCATGTAATCACAAGACACACTTTATTGTTTACCTTCATTTCTTTACATTTATGTCAATTCTATGCCAATACACAAGTAAAGACCATACTTTCATAAACTCCTTTACTAGACCATTTTAATGATGATTACTCACATAACAAGCAACCACCTTGGTTCATATTTACCTAGGGTCCTTGAAGGACCCAACCAATCTTCCAAAATATCTTTTACAATTTTTTTTTTAACAATTCCTAGTTCCAAAATCATACAATGGCTGAAGCCAATAACAAATGAACTAGGGATTTTCATCAATTCTTTTACGCAACCATTGGTTCCTAGAACCCATACTTGACCCCAAGTTACTCATATATTCATATAACCATTTAAGCCTAAGCTTTGCTTATTTTTCCTTCACAAGGCCGATGTAACACATACAAAGGAGTCAAGATGTCTCTCATTATTTCTTAAACCATTTCACTTCAAAATCATACTAAATTTCATGTATTGAAAATTCAACACATTAACAAAATAAAACATAATCTAATCATCCCTAATTTACCCTATAAGGCCGAAATCAATAAAGGAGAAGCCAAGGGTTTCATTCTTTTTCATTCACTTTTCTTCACTTAATAAAAATCTTACATATACACATGCCTATATAAATATATCCCTACAAAGTGTTCAACTAAATTTTGAACCTCAAGCTCCTCCAAAGACCATCATGGCCGAAACCTAGGGGATACAACACAAGGGAATTTTTTTCATTTAACACATGTACAATTGCTTGTTTCACATGCTTATATACAAAACATCAAAAATCCATCACCAATTTACCTTTAAACTAATTTATTTACCACCCAACACATGCTCACAATTTTCATGACTCGAATCATCAAAATGAAACCATGGAAATAGAGGTTCCTTACCTCTAAACACTTGTACAAGGCCTAGAGAGCAACCTCCAAGCAAAGCTCCATCCAAAACTCAATTTTTTCCTTGATGAATAGTAACTCGAAAATGGGGGGAGGGAGAACTCTTCACACAATCAACTCTAGCTCAAATTGATCGGTGGAATGGATTCATTGGGTGGTTTACAGTCAATTTCATGTAGTGGACTTTGTGATTTGGTGGAAGATTGAGTGAGAATCAGATGAGAGAGGAAGCAAACCCTACAACCCCCTTACCACCATTGAAGCCTCGGGTGGGAGAAAAAGAAGACGACAATGGCGCGTAAGAAACAAAAGAAATAATGAAGGAGTTCATTGTTTGTAAGTTAAGTTACTTTTACTGGGTAACAACTTATCTATCTACACACCTCTATTCAATACCAAATTTTGCACACTAGTCCAGAATATTTTTATGATAATATTTATAATTTTACTTTTTATTTTTGGGTAACTTTATTTACCCGCTTTTTTACTCCTTAACTGTCATTTTAACTCATTTTTCACCAAAGGTGACTTTATTTCTTTTTCTTTATAATTATCCTTCCATATTAAATCCATAATAAAATGTGAGGGTCATTATATCACCTTTATTGATGATTTCAGCAAGAAAGCTTGGGTGTATAAAATCAAAGAAAAATCAGAAGCCCTAGTTACTCGTATATTCATATAACAATTTAAGGCTAAACTTTGCCTATTTTTCCTTCACAAGGCCAATGAAACATACAAAGGAACCAAGATGTTTCTCATTATTTCTTAAACCTTTTCACATCAAAATCATACTAAAGTCATGCATTAGAAACTAAACACATCACCAAAATAATTTTTAACATAATCAACCCCCACATAACCCTATAGGCCAAATTCAAAGAAAGGATTATCTTTTATACTTTCAATTTAATCACTCAATTCACACTTCCAAATACACATAATCCTCCACAAACCAAGCAATTAAATTTTTGCACATACACCCCTACCGTCACTACATGGCTGAATTTTAGAGAGGGAGATGCAAGGAAATTTTTCAACATTCAAACTCATAATCATGCTTATTTAACACTATAACTTCATTAACAATATTAATCCATCATATATTTCAATATTCCAACTCAATAATATTCCATAACATATGCTCATAATATTCAAAACTTAAATCATGACATTTAAACCATTAGAATAATGATCTCTTACCTCAAATCATCTATAGAAGGCTTGGAGAACAAAACCCAAGCTTGGTTCCACCTAAAAATTCACGTCTCTCACTAGGATAAATAGTAACCGAATTTTGAGAGGAAGAGAGCTCTTCACACAAGCCTTTTCAGCCTAAACAAAGTAGTGGGATGGATTCACCATGATCTCTACTTAAACTTTCATGTATGGCACTTTGTGTTTTGGTGGCTAGATGAGTGACAAAGAGAGGAGAGAGAGAGAGAGAGAGAAAAACCCTAACCCCTCCCCACAACCATGATGTAACACCCTCCCTTGTATGCATCAAAGAGAGTTGTTTGCTAAGCGGATTAGAGTTCTTAATGTCATTTCTTGAATACTGAAAAAATCATTTTAAGTTGCTAATTAAAAACTTGCGTCGAAATCCAGTTGTTCATAAAAATCAGAGTGTAAATTTTAAAAATACATAGTTTGCTAAATTTTCCTAACTATCCTGACAGACCTTGCTGTCTTGAAAACATTATAAAAAATCCGAGTACAAAAATTTTCTTTGCTACGAAGAAACTAGACATCTGGGGCTTCGCGTACATATAAATTATACGCGAATCGGAGGTCTCTAGCCCCACGAAACAGAACTCGCAAGTTCCTCGAAAATTCAATGTATTTATCTAAAAGCCTCCTGACTTGTAAAAATCAAAATAATTCGGCTTTTTAAAATTTCATGTCCAAATCTTTATAATCAGAAACTACGCGGCTGGTGCTTTACATCCATATAAAATATACCTCAATCGGAGGTCTATAGCCCCAGAACGACAACTCGCAAAGTGCTCGCAAAATTGTTTAAACTCCAAATTCAAATACAGTAACAATGGTTTTTCGCAATTTAAATACCAGAGACATATAAATCATGCTAAACTTCTTTTCAAAACTGAATATACATCATGGCATGTCAACTTTTACGAAACTACAGCAAAGAGGAATAATTAGAATACAATCAGCAGGAAACAGCCAACGAACAGCAATGTTGCGAACAACATAACTCAATCAGGATTATTCATGTGATTATGTCATCAAACACTTCCCCATAAGCTTCTAAGTCCTCCTGCAATTTATAAAATTGACCCCCCGAAGGGATGAGAAAAATCTCAGTAGTGTGGCAATAAAACCAAACAGCAACAATATTAGAGTAGGTACAAAATTCCAAAACAGTCGCATCAACATTTAAATTTCTGGACAGATGCTAATATATATTCAAAGTGTGTATATAACGCCAAGGTACTAATCATATTGGGTATATAACGCCAAAATACTAATCAAGATGAGTATATAACGCCAAAGAGTGCGTTCATAGCACCGTCGTGCACGTACTAACAAGTACAGTGGAAATCCCATAGTGGCTCCTCAGAAGGGTTCCAACTGCAACCTATGCGGACTGAAGCCAAGTGTCCCATACCCTGGTACCGGAGGGATGCCTATATGATGCGTGCTCAAACGCATGTTTATATTTATTATATACTTCGGTCTCCAAGATGAATGCATAATGCAGTATGCGATGACATGCTTGACCCACACACAAACAGACACAGGTGAAACATGATGTGCATATGCATGACTAGGTCATAATCATATAACATATACCTCTTGTATATTTAATACCAAGCTGTCGTATAACAAATACTTCCATAAGCAGATATTTCCATCAAGACAAGTCCAAAGGCAGATTTCATATAATATATGACAGAATACGAAGCATAAGGCACATGTGAGCATCAGTTCATAATTTCATACTCTAGCTAATAGTCACAGTAGGTCTCACCACCAAACACATATCTTGGCACTTTACTTTTAAATAAAGCATTCCAAACATCATCGAACAATCCCATTATCTAAGGATTTGTGCACCTAAACAAACACATACATCAAATCAGAATTTATCACGTTTATTTTCTATATATTACATAGCTGTCCCATTCTCCTAATCCTTGATTTATAATCGGTTTCCCTGTTCACACACTAAGTGAATTTTCTGCCATTCTATTGATCTTCCAATTGTCTTAAATTGACAAAAGTCCAAGGTAATCTACACATGCACATTCGGTCTTCAACCATTAATTAGGTGCTTAATATATTTAATTTATGTTTACTATACGTTGCATACAATTTCCATTACTTTAGATACTCGAGTTATGCTTGTACTTCTTGGCTCTTACAAAACAAATCTTTTATTTTTGTGACTTATGTTTGGTCTCCTTACTCATGCGCAAGTGCCAAAATCCAAAACTCTTTATACAACACATGGTTCGGTTTTCATTATCCATATATACTTATAATTTTATCATTTCACCTAGCAAGTCCTACATGATTTTAGAGAGCATTAATGAGGCTTAAGAAGGCTGTCTACATACATCCCACACAGTGGCGGACCCATGAATTATTATTACGGGGGGCGAAAAAATTTATATTAACTCATCTGTTCAATAACTATTGACATTCCAATTCATTTTGGCCAATGTTTCAACATTAAACCATAATTCAATTAGCTATTTAATTTGTTAAATCTCATATAAACTGAATAATAATCAAACTAAAATATAACCGATTCAAAGTCCGAGCACTAAAACTAGCCGGTCTAGTTCAGTTTTAAAACATTTTTCCATTTTAACTACCTAGTTCTAATTGTACCGGTCATGAATAGGTAAAAAGCTTCTAGTAAATACTACCTAATTCCATTTTTCCATTTAAAATACTTCTAGTAAATCTACATTCTACATGTAACGATCAAAAGCTTCATTTTCCACTTCAATACTTCTCTCCTTGTATTCCTTTAAATTGGAAAATCTCCATTCGTTGATAGCTACAACATCCTGTAATCATTCACAATGCTATTACTTTTGTACAACGTAAAGCTTGCTATATCAAGTTATACACTTAACTATGCACTGTTTATATATTGTGTGTACATCGCTAGTCTAATGCTGCAACCTGCCATTGAATTGGTTTTTTTATATGCAAAAATTTTAAATGAATAATTTTTTAGGGGGGCGGGGGCCACCACTAGCCCCATGTAGGTCCACCCCTGATCCCACACATGCAGGGCTATGTACATAATCTTAGTCTAAGAGAGTAATCTAGTCCTTGATGGGGCCATATTCCAAATCCCAAACATAATTTCTTAAGACATGACAGTATCAAGGTGAAAGGTTTAATCAACTATACAACATGAGAAGGTAATTGACAAAATGTACAGCTCCTTAATCATAAAAATTAGCGCTCCAAAACAGAACCAAGGGAAGAAATTTTAGCCATTTATATATTCCCCTTTCAGGTAATTGGTGACTGAAACAAAAGGGGAAGAAAAGAGGCTTAAACTCAGATTTATCATCTCTCAATTTCTAGTTTTCTAACCAAGTCATTATGCTTCAGAATTAAAGGCTTTATATCTTATAATTTATTAAATCAATCGACAGCAATTAGAAGAATTTTGTTATCCCTATATGCATACCAATTCGGTCACATGACTATTACTTAAGAGGTTCAATTTCTTTTTCTTGCATACATTACCTACATCACCTAGGCATTATTACTCATGTGAATATATTACTTCTACACATTATTTTTCTAACAACAGTGCAGTCTAGCGATTTATACGATGCTAAATCTAGATTCACCAATTTTCAGTTTACAACATGAAATTCCAAGGCTGTCCAATTTGACAGAATTTAAGGGGAAGAATAGTTAAGATAAGGTATCCTCCTAAAATGCATGTGAGCCGTACAAACAAAACACAAAGGAGGATTTGATAAATTACTTACATCTACTTGTAGTCACTTAGAATTCCCAAATCGACTAGGGGCAGAAATCGAGTGCTGTGTGAGTTCCCTCACTTTCCCATTCTGTTGAACATGGTTTTTATCTTCTCCAACACTGCTGGCAGTGCGCCCCATGGGGAAAGGAATACAGGTTTGATACACAATAAACTCCACCAAAATAGTCCCACAACTTCACAAGGGGGCTACGGTCCAAGCTAAAATTTGAGTCCTAAACTGGCATGTGTCTATGGCCTACACTCTTCAGCTGAGCCAAGGAAGGAAACCATAAGAATAACAACATCAAGACCCTTAGCCTACACACAGCGACTAAGACAGAGGAAAGAAAAGGACTTGAGGTTCAACTGCTACCTCTTCGTACACACCAAAGTGCTCACAACCGGTCCAAAGGCATCACCCAAAAGAAGATTGGTACCCTCACCCTCCTCCTTGCAACAATCCGAGCTACCCATCTGCATGCAAGGGAAGAAGAAACCCAATCAAGGCTGGACCAATTTCATTCAGTGGAAAAACTCAATTAGAACCGTTCCAAGCAAGAGGGAGCTAAAAGAAAGCAAGGAATACTTCCGCTCCTAAGATAGTTCCTCGGCCAAGCTAGAGAAAAATGAAGAATGAATTGAGATGGTAATCTCCTCCGTAGTTGCTCTAAAACTGAGTCAGAATGAGAATGAATGGGAATTTAGCTGATTGAAGGTTACGGTTTTGTGGGAATATGAGGTGAAAACGATTTAAGCTTAGTACCCCTCTATTTTTCTTCTTTTATTTTTAACGATGGAGGGTGCAGGAGAAGGCTGAGTTCGGTTTTAGAATTAAGAGGTAGATAGACAATTTGTGTTCTTCTTGGTTCAACCATTCAACGCCTAGGAAGGGAGTAGGGGTTACATTTGGTTCAGAATAAGGGTGTGTAGCAATGGGTTGATGCCCTCCTCAAGGTTATATGCACATGTGAGGAGATAAGGTGGGTGTGGTTTGCCTTGGACCAATGGAATTTCATGTAGGCAGATTTCACTTAGCCACTAGTGATAATGTTTAAAGCAATTTAGGCTGGACTTGGTTCTCCAAGGGCTTGGGCCGTACCCTATGAGTGTAGGTGAGGGTCCAATTTCCTCTCCTTATGACCCTTAGCTTATATATTTTTATTACTCTTAATTCTTCTAAGTATTAATATAATCTTTTATAGATTACATTAAATTAATCCAATTCTTTTAACTAGAGGTTTTAATTTCTTAAAACATATATATACATATGCACTCACATGTCCATACAAATCAAATAATTTTCCTAACGTAAATAAATTTCACTCTAAACATAAGTTTTATTCGAATTTTCAAGCTTGCTACACCTTCTTAATTATAATTTATACAAGTCCCTAATTATGCGGGATGTTACACATGAAGCCTCGGGTGAGAGAAAAAGAAGCCGACAGTGGCGTGAGAAAAGGAAGAAGAATTTAAAGGATTTAACGGTATGTAAAGTTAAAGTTATTTTAACTGGATAATAACTTATCTATCTACACATCTCCATTCAAAACCAAACTTTACCTAATGAACTAGAATATTTTTCTAGTCATATTTCTAACTTTACTTTTGCATTCTGGGTAATTTTTCTCACATCCATTTTTACCACAAAAATCTCACTGACTGTATTTTTTATCTCAAAAGTAACCCTAGTTTATTTAATTAGATCTTTTACTTAATTTAACCCATTTATGCATGATTAAATATTTAATAATATACCCTTTTCTAATTAAATGGGTTAGAAATATTATAAAATACACCAATTAAAGAGAGACATATGATTTACGTGAAAATTCAATCTGAGAAAAATCATAGGCACGATCAAAAAAGAATTTCATCACATGCAAAAAATTAGATCATCTCTCTAAATACAACGAAAGACCAGTATCACTCTCTTTTATACTCGGAGAACTAACCTCAGTGAAAGTAACACTAAAGAGACACTCACTACTCGAAAAGTTCAATTTTTCGACAGAAATTTTTGACGAAAAATATTCCGTCGAAATTAGAGATGGAAATTTCCACGAAAAACGTATTTCGTCGACAATTTGTGACAGAATTCCTTTTTCGTCAAAAATTTTCGACGGAAATTCGATTGCGTCGAAGATTTTCGACTGAAAATGAATTCCTTCGAAAAGTAATACAAAAAAATAAATCAAAAACAAATTATATTATGAATATTTTGACAGAAATCCTATTCCGTCGAAGATTTTTCGACGAAAATCCGATTCCGTCGAAGATTTTAGACAAAAAATGAATTTCGTCGAAAATCAATACAAAAAAAATCAAAAAAGAAATTATATTCATGAATTTTTCGACGGAAATCCGATTTCGTCGAAGATTTTCCACGGAAAAGGAATTCCGTCGAAAATCAATACAAAAAACTAAATCCAAAATGAAATTATATTCATGAATCTTTCGACGGAATTTCGATTTCGTCGAAGATTTTCAACAGAGAAGGAATTCCGTCGAAAATCAATACAAAAAATAAATCAAAAATGAAATTATATACATGAATTTTTTGACGAAATTCCGATTCTGTCGAAGATTTTAGACGGAAAAGGAATTCCATCGAAAACCAATACAAAAAATAAATCGAAAAAGAAATTATATTCATGAATTTTTCGACTGAAATCCGATTATGTCGAAGATTTTCCGTGAAAAAGGAATTCCGTCGAAAACCATTACAAAAAAATAAATCAAAAACAAAATTATATTCTAGAAATTTACGACGGAATTTCGATTCCGTCGAAGATTTTCCACGGAAAAGGAATTCCGTCGAATACCAATACAATAAAATAAATCAAAAAAGAAATTATATTCATGAATTTTTCGACGGAAATCCGATTTCGTCGAAGATTTTCCACGCAAAAGGAATTCTGTTGAAAACCATTACAAAAAACTAAATGTGTCAGCCTGACCAAGCCTGTTACCTGTTATGAATATAATTTCAGCTTGTGGCCTATCTTATTTACAAAAAATAAAAGCCTGGGTGAGCCTGTTATCCTGTTTTAAAAAAGTAAGACAATAAAAATTTATCCAAACAAAATATACAATCAATAGTACTAGTAATTTCATAAATATTTATAAATTTAATGTATATCCAAATAGCATAATATAAAATAAAATCATTCAAAAAGTCTGTTTAATTAATAAAATAGGATGAAATGGATTTAGGAGAGAGAGTGAGCTATCACAAGTAGTATAAAAAATAAAAAATATAAAATAAAAATAAAAATTAATATATTAGGCCACTTGGAAATAAGCAAATCATGTTCATTGTTTATTCTATTTTCCAAAAAGAAAATAATAAATAAATCAACATTTATTAGACATTAAATATGTAGAATTGATTAATGCTTGAGATGTATAATATTAAGGGAAATATTTGATATAATTTTATTGATATTTAATTTTAATTTATTGCAGAATTGATTAATTTATTTAGCTGATAATGGTAGGTTTGAATCATGAAACTAATATTTTCCATGCTTGTGTATGTTGCTTGGAAAAGCAAATCATTTTTATTGTGGTTAAATAATTTATCATTTAACCCATTATGATTTCAAATTTTCACTTACACTCATTGTGGTTACAAATATATCATTTAAACACTTTGATAAAAATTCCAATAAAATATTATTTTATTTTATCTAGTTTTTTACTTGATATCATTGTAATTTTTTTTTTCTTCTAAAAATGGAATATCCTATTAACTCTTTTTTATATTTATTTATGTATGTTATATTTATTTTTTTGCCACACATATTATAATGATTAAAAAAATTAGACTAATTACCAAAAAAAGAAAAATAGACTTTTTGCTCTCTTACCTTCCCTCATTTCCCATTTTTTTCCGCTCTTTTAATTTTGAACAAGCTAAAAGGTCCCCTTTTGTCTAAGTTATTCACGACTCACACTTCTTTTTTCATATCCCATTCATCATTGTAACGCCTCGTATATATCCGGTAGTGTTATCATTACATCGTATTAAGCGGTGCTTAATTAAAAATGCGGAATATTCTTTTTCTTTTCAATTATGACGTCATTATAATTACCATCTTGATTACTTGATCAATTTTATAAAATATCTCCTGTATGTATATTGCAATAAGACATCTACTGAAATACCTCAATATATAAATAAAGTGTGTATCTAAAATCACGGATCTACAACTCGTAGTCCAGACCGTATCCTGATACATTATTACAACTCCAAATAAAACAAGACATAAACAAGTCTATGTGTCATGGACAACCTCCATGCTCACCAAATCAACAGTGTCTCAACAAGATAATCATAATCACAACACGAACTAAAAACATAAAGCAGCATGCATATCCAGCATATAACATGTCAGCATAATATAACAGCAAATCTAACTCAGCTCCGGCCTCCTGCCGCCTGAGGTCTCAACATTACCTGAACCTGAAATAAGCATTCCCCAAACGTGGGGTGAGATCTCTAAACAAGAAATCTCAGTAAGACAAAGGGTCCTCAAGGATCTTCCACCCCAAGCTCACTTACATGTGCAATATAAGTTCTAAAAGCATTTATATCATTATCAGTTCCAAAACTATGTAGTGCAACAGATATCTATGGCATGTGTGTAATCACTATTCTACTGGCCAGTGAAATGTAGGAATACGTCTATCTCCTACATGTAGTACAAGGAACACTGCTTGCACCTCACCCATAGCCTCACCCTATTGTATGTTCTACATACTCAGGCTTACCGTATAGGTGGAACACCTCCATGCATATCAACAAGGCACTAACATATAACAACTCAACAGCATTTCCAAAACATCAAAAGCATGTAACACAGCATGCATATACCATACCCCCATGGGACATGGTGGAACCACAACATGGCTAAACCGAGGACACGAAAGCTTACCTTGCAAGCTCACTATCCAATGCCAAGAGTCCTCACAGCTCAAGTCTAACACACAGCAGATCACAATCTGATTTAGGACCAGCAAGTGTATCAAGATACATAACTCAAAAGCATTAACATAAAGACTACATTTTCCTTAACGATTTACGTCTTAAGGCTTCCAACAAAGCCATAAGCCCTTAATCACCTGATTTTGGCTTAGTCCACTAATTACAGAAGTTCAACTTCATCAATCTAGGGTCCACAAACCCCCAATAGCCTACTGTACACACAACACAGCTACTGTTCTACGAAATCCCAGAATATCCGGATATTCCACGGGAACATATTCGGATATGCAATATCCGGATATCTCACTGTCCATATCCAGATATGTAATATCCGAATATACAGATTCCCATATCCGGATATCCAATATCTAGATATCCCAAAACCCCATATCCGGATATCATATCCAGATATCCAATATCCGGATATTCCACGGGCAGATATCCGGATATTTCACGACAGAATGCAACAACTGCATTTCGTGAAGATATCCTTCAAAGGTTGGGTTTTTATCGATTTTAAACACTTAAACATGCATTTCTAGGTGTGTTAAGCATTACCCAACAACAAGTTATCATCTTTTAGCCTTAACATGCATCAAGCTTCCATTTTTAAGCATTAAAACTCAAGTTAAAGGTTGGTGATCATACCACAACTCAAAAATAGAGGAGGGAGATGCTCTTGGAGCTCACAACAGCCACTCAAAGCTGACTCAACATGATGCACGAAAATGACACCAATAAGAGTAGGTTTTTCTTCACAAAGGTGACACTTTGAAGATCAAAATGCTAAGAATGAGACTCCCACCCTTCAAACACAAAACTCAACAGTTCAAACTCCCTCACACAGGTTCTCTAACTCAGAAAAAGCACCACAAACCCCTTCCCAAAGGTGACTCTCCCTCACAAAAGTGTTTAAGAGAAGCTTTCAAGGAAGAGAAAGCCTCAAAGCTTAAGAAATGGTGAAGAAAGGGATGAAACAGTGACACAATCCGACCAGCCACCAAAACCCACGAAGAAGAGGCAGTTTTCTAGGGCATTGTGCCCTTAGTGAGTGTATATATAGCCACTTAACAATTAAACACGCAGTATTAACTTAAATTGCTACGCTCAACATTTTAATCCCAAACTTTGGAATATGAAACTACACATTTTTCCAAGAATTATCATATTTTTATTATATTTTTTGGAGCATCTTTCCGGTACGCGCTTTTCATAGCCAGTATCAGTTTCTGGCACCAGTTCTCATTATTTGGACTTGAAACTCATTTTACAAGTCCTATATATTATTCTAGTAATTATCATGCACTTACATTAATTTTTCGGGATACTTTTTCGGTACGCATTTATACCGACTAGCAGAACCGGTATCTGCACTTTTCTTCCGAAAAACGACTTTCAACATTCTTAATCACTTACCATAATTATTAAAGCCTCTTAATAATTATTAGGGTCAATTATGAAATCATTTCCTAATTTTGCAATATTAATTAATTAAATTCCTTAATTAACAGTGCGGGTTCTTATAATCATGTTCTTCGTCTTTATTTCTCTCAAACCCCAATCCCTCTTCAACTATGTAGCGGCGCTGTTCAGAACCAGAACTTCCGGCGAGTGAGAGAGTACCGAAACAAAACCCTTTGGTTGTAAGAAGCCTCTACCCGGAAGGGACTGCGAACGATTGGCATCCCTCTGCCTCTTGAACATTTGGAGGTATTTTTGAATCGGTCTTTCATTTCTTTTCCTCTGGAATGGGAATAACGTGTACAGAATTTTTGTCGTCAATTATGTGTAACTCTTATTTTACCTTTGAATGCCCTCATTTGCCTCTACTGATCTTCTTTCTCTTTAATTTTTCTCATTTAAATAGTTGTACGGCCTATGAAGGGGGAATCAAAATCTTTAATTTCTCTTTAATTTGCCTAAGGGTGTTGGGTCATTTGAGCGAAAAGTACTTCGATGGAAAGGTGATCCCATTCACATTTGTTACCCAAATGCCAACTTTTGGTGCATTTCTACTATATCTGTAAATATGAGGTAACTGATAGAAATTTATTTTAACTTGTTTGTAAAACTAATTTCTTTTGGTAGTTTTTAGTGCTCCATTTGATTTGTGGTAGGTAATTATTTGCTATTTTATTAGGTTCATAGTTCAGGGCTCATAAAAGATCAATCAAGTGGAGCTGTTGAAGAGGATTTTGCATATAGATGTTTTGGTGGATAAGCTCTCGGTATTGGCTATAGACAGGTAAATATGTTTATGTTTAGATTCAAAAGTATATATAGATATATATGGGAAGATAATTAGTGATTGAATGGTTAGTGATTCATAATAATAAATGGCATATTGATATTGTTGAGAATTGAGATAGGTCAGTTTTCTAGAATACCTTAACTTCCTTTTGAAGGTCTTTGATATAATCCACAGCCAAGTCCAACATGTCGGCTGTGTTTGTTTGCTGCAACTGTAACTCATTAAATTTTATATGAGAGTACTTGCTTGCTTGATGTTGCAATCTCGTGTTTCTTACACTAGATTTTATAGTGGAGTCGTGTTAATTATTTTCAAATTCGTAACTTGTTATATTTGACTTCTAATAACAGCACTCATAAAGGAAGCATGCAGGACTTATGATATCCTTCTATCTATATTAAGAGAAGTGGAAAGAAACATTATGTTAGTATATATATATATATATATATATATATATATATATATATATATATAGCTAATGAGTTGGCTTGGGGTGAAAACATAGAAGATATGTGTGTGGATGACGTCACTTTATATATATATATATATATATATATATATATATATATATATATATATAGAGGTAGAATCATTTGACACCGGTGTCAAATTTGAAGTTTGACACCTCATCTGAGAGTCGTTAGATCAAAAAAGATCAATGGTGTCACATGCGTACAAATCAGAGTCGTTGATCTTTTTTGATCAAACGGCTCTCAGATGAGGTGTCAAACTTCAAATTTGACACTGGTGTCAAATGATCCTACTTCATATATATATATATATATAACTTACATAACTTATAAAACTAGTTATGTAAGTTATATATATATAACTTACGTAACTTATAAAACTAACGTAACTATATATATTGAAAATAAATTATTGTTGGCCTCTTTTCCTTCTTTTTTCCCCTCCCTAATTCATATGTTCATTAATCAACAATTTAAGTGCATATTGGGAATATCAGGGTGCTTACAAGGTTAGTTATGGGTTTCCAGAGTTGTTGGTGTTGTTTCTTGGCTAATTGCCAGGAAAAGGCTTTGAAGGTGAGTTATTGTTCTTACTAAAGATGTTCTTTCATCTCTTCCTCTCTCTCTATTTTAATGTTAAAAAATAAAAGGTTTCTTAGTATTCAAGGGCTAATCAACTTTATTATATTATATGCTCAAGCAATTCTTGCAACACTGGAAACTGATTGAAATTATGTGAAATTGGTATAGGCACATGATACTAAGATGCCACACGAATTCATTCAGCAACTGTTGAGTGATGAGGCCACTATGTAATTTTAACTCCTTCCCCACATGATATTAAGATGCTTTTCTCTTGACACTATCAACTAGTTAGATAGGATCTTTCATCTGGATGCTTATAGTATACCTGGTTTTATGCTCATATCATAGTCGACCACCTTGTTGCAATTCAATTACAAATGAATGATACAATTCTAATTGTTTTAACCGTGTGTTGCTATGATCTCAATTTTTGTTTACATTGGTTAGTGTGAGATTATGCAGTTCTTTGGTGTATTTTGAGGATAAAAAGTTAAGGAGAATACTTCCTGATATGTACTTACTTTATAGTACTTGATAAATTTTGTTTGTTACCACAAACTTATATCTACAACTTTTATCTGCAGACTGTTAATATGACCTTTGCAACAGTAAATTGTCAATTTGAAGAAGCCATTGGAAAATATGAGTAGGTATTTTTTGTTTTAATGTATAACTAAGATTATATATTATGTTAATAATGCTTACAGTCTTCTGAATGGCGATTCATCCTTCTTTTGGTGTGCTTTATATGTTATTAAATATTTTACATGCCTACAGGTACAGTTGCACAACAAGAGGAAAGGGCTGAACAATAATAGAAGAGGGCTCCACAACAAGAGACAAGGGTTGAGCAACAGGATAGTCTCATGGTTATCATGTAGAGGCGAATGGAAAAAATGGAGAAGCTTATCTGAAGGCTTCCTGAGGCATTATTAAATGCTGAGGATGACGACGAGACTCAGCCCCCTGGTCTCATGACCTAGGTGATGACCATGACTATGTAGGTCATTCACCAACATGACTTATGTATCTTGTTTGGATGTATATGACATGGACTATTGTACATGACCTATTGTACATAGACTTTTTTCATTAGTATATAAAAAGAACTTTTGTACACATAATTATATTAACATCAATATGATTTTGATATGTTATTTACTTTCATTATATTTGTTTATCAGGTGCAAAACATAAATCGATATTAATTTTGTAGAGCAAAATAAAAAAAATCGACAAAAAGGCAATTTCGTCGAAAATTGAGGCAATAGTGTTTTACGAAATTTCATTCATTTTATGTACAAATTGATTACAAAATTTTTCGACGGAATTTCATTCATTTTATGTCGAAAAATTTCGACGGAATTTGTTTTGCGTTGAAAACTATTACAAAATTTTTCGACGGAATTTCATTCATTTTTCGTCGAAAAATTTTGACGAAATTTGTTTTCTGTCGAAAATTATTACAAGATTTTTCGACGGAATTTAATTCATTTTCCGTCAAAAATCTTCGACGGAATTTATTTTTCGTCGAAAATTAATACAAGATTTTTCAACGGAATTTCATTCATTTTCCGTCAAAAATCTTCGACGGAATTTATTTTCCGTCAAAAATTAATACAAGATTTTTCGACGGAACTTTATTTATTTTTTGTAGAAAATTTTCGACGAAATTCTTAATAACGTCAAAAAAATCGCTACCCACGGAGAGATATTCGACGGCTTCATTTCTGTCGAAAACTTCATTTTCGACGGAATTTTAACCATTTTCGACGGAATTTTTCCGTCGAAAAAAATGCATTTTTTAGTAGTGTGTTTATCTCTCCAAGTGGGTATGCTAAACACACTCTCTTAAACAAGGAATGTCGGCGAAGTTCCCTATTTATAGAGAACCATCCCGTGTTTGGCCACTCCTTATTCTTCAACTTTCCGAAATTGGTACAGTACAACATGTGATTTGTAAGCACCTTCCAATTTGCACAGCTTCTTATGCGAAATGAATAGTTGAAGTGCCGATTTGTTTCATAAGGAAAAAAATGCCACCGAAAGTGGCTTTAGTTTTCTGTCAATTGGTACACACTTCTCCTACTTCATTCTAAAGAATAGTAGCTTACATACTCATCACGCTTCATTTTGAAGAATAATAGCTTTAATCATGAACCCAACGAGTGATGTCAGCTTGAACGATGTTGCTGAACAGGGAGATATAGAGGGTCTCTACACGGTAATTCAGGAGAATCCAAGCGTTTTGGAGGACATTGACATGATACCATTTGTTGAGATTATAAGATTGAAACCATCGTTTGCTGGGAAGTTGAATGGGCGAGGATTCAGCCCTATCCACGTTGCTTTACAAAAAGGCCAAAATAGAATGGTGATTCGCTTTGTTCAAATCAATAAAGACCTTGACCGAGTCAAAGGGAGGGAAGGCATAACTCCTCTGCATTTAGCAAGTCAAACCGGAGAAATTAACCTTTTAGCTGAGTTCCTGTCTGCTTGCCCGGATTCAATTGAAGATGTAACTGTGAGAAGTGAGACTGCACTGCATATTGCTGTGAAAAATAGACAGTACAGGGCTCTTCAAGTCTTGGTTGGCTGGCTCAAGAAATCAGTCCTGAGAGATGCCATGAAGTTAGAAAGAAGAATATTGAACTGGAAGGATGAGGAAGGCAACACCATTTTGCACATTTCAGCAGTCTTAGGTGACCCACATCACAGGTATCCTTCTATCTATATTTTGAACTTACTTTTGATTCATAACTATTAGTGAAAAAGAATATCTATCTGAACCACAGGTATTCTGAAGTCATCCTTGAATAAACAATTCAGTTTTGTTTCATTACTTCTGTCATCTCTTTTATGCAGATCCGATAGACACTTAACAGTACACCGATTATGGTGAAGATTTTATGTTGGGATATTCAACATTTTGATTAATAATGGGCTATGTAAAAATCATATAAGTGGAGGAACCCATGATTCTAATATCATAAGATTTTGAGTTGAGACATGATAACTTGTTACTTTGTTGGTGTTGAACTAAGTTAGTCCATTAGTAGTGGTCCCTGTTAGAGGTCAACTGATATTTTAGATGGCTAAATGATCTCTCTCTTTTCTTTTTCTTTTCTCTAATTGGAACATTAATCTCTAAAACTGAGAGGTTTTATAGTTAAATTTAATCTCTAACAATTACATTGTTCATTAATTTGATTCCTTGGTAGCACAGCCGCTTCAATTGTTGGTAAAGACTTTGAGGAATTTGAACTCCAAGAGTTTGGTAAACTCAACAGCATTAGACATAGCAGCAACCAATAACGCAGAGATGAAAAGCATATTAGTGAGAGCTGGAGCAAGACGTGGTTCATCAGTTACTAACGCTCCCTCTCTTGCAGACAAGCTAATATCAAAGATCACAAATATGGATAAAATAATCATTTATGTACTTCGCTCAATGAAGATAACAGAGGACCAACGCAATGCTTTAATGGTAGTTGCTGCTCTTGTTGCAACCGCAACTTTTCAATTTGCACTGAGCCCCCCTGGTGGAGTTTATCAGGCAAACGCCGGGGATAATAATGTGAACTCTATAATACAGTAGTAACAATTAGCAGTTAAATTTCAGTTAGATATTTTCAGTTAGTTTATAAGTTAGTTATTAGCTGAGTTAGTTATCAGTTAATCTCAGTTACCCGCTTTACTTTCTTTAACTTTCTTTGCTTCTGTATACTGGTATATAAACCAGTTCGTGATGTATATGTCATTAATTCAGTTTTCTCATTTCTTTCATCAATAATATGAGTTTAGTCAAGTTTCTTAATATGGTATCAGAGCTCAATTCAGAGCTCTGAATATCAGAATCGTTTCTTCAGTTTTAGATAATTCCATTGAAGTTCATCTCTCTTTTATGATGGCAAATCAAAATCATGCACCTCAAGTTCCTGCACCTCAAATTCCAATACCTCTTCCTGATTTCTTAACAAATCCAACCAATGCCTTTTATCTTCACCCAAATGAGAACCCTTCTCTGGTTCTTGTTTCACCACCCTTAAATGGCAAGAATTACCATACTTGGTTTAGAGCTATGAGAATGGCTCTTAGATCCAAAAACAAGCTTACTTTTGTTGAAGGCAGAATCAACATTCCAGAACCTGAAGATCCCATGTTCATCGCTTGGGATAGATGCAACACCATGATTCTTTCTTGGCTCCATAAATCGATTTCAGAATCCATAGCACAGTCAGTTTTGTGGGCTGATAAAGCTATTGATGTCTGGAATGATTTAAAAGAAAGATTTGCACAGTCAGATGTATTTCGTCTTTCTGATCTTGAAGATGATATTCTCAAAACGCAACAAGGAGTATTTTCAGTTGCTGATTATTTCACCCAACTCAAGAATTTATGGGAAGAAATGGATAATCTTGAACCTATTCCATCATGCAGATGTCAACCAGCTTGCAGCTGTGACCTTATAAATCAAGTGAAGTCAATAAGAGAAAGAAGTAGAGTAATCAGATTCTTGAAAGGTCTCAATGACCATTTTTCACACGTTCGATCACAGGTAATGCTTATTGAACCTTTACCAGGTGTTAATAAAGCATTTTCTTTAGTAATTCAACAGGAAAGAAAGTTGAATCTCGATAATGGATCAATCACTCAACCTGAGCAACAAGTTTTTGCTAATGCAATTGAACAAGGCAGAGGCAGGGATGGATTTGCAGGTAGAGGTCGTGGATTTGCAGGCAGAAGCAACTATGGAGGAGTTGCAGGCAGAAGAAACTATGGAGGAGGTAGAGGCAATGTATCGAAATTTTGCATTTATTGCAAGATGACAAATCATACAGTTGAAACCTTTTATAGGAAACATGGTTTTCCTCCTGGATATCAAACAAGAAGTCATATGGCTAATTTAGCTATTGAAGATTCACAGGAAGATACCATTGATCATTCTGAATCCACTTTGGGAGCAAACTTCACCAAAGAACAGCATCAAGAATTGCTGAATCTACTACAGAAATCAAAGGAAACCATTCCTTCACATGCCTCCAATATGGTTCAAACTTCTGTTTTTAATGTTGATTCTGCAAATACAGGTGAGAACCCTATTTTTTGGATCCTGGACACTGGAGCTACTGACCACATAGCTAATTCAACTTCCCAATTTTCTTTCATTAGCAAAATCAAACCTATACAAATCATAGTACTTGATGGGTCGAAAATAATTGCTTCTCATTCAGGCACCATTAGACTATCAGATACCATAACATTGAAAAATGTCCTTTTTGTTCCAAATTTTCATGTTAATCTGATTTCCATAAACAAACTCTTACATGATCTTTGTTGTTATGCCATTTTTAAAGATCTAACCTGTTCCATTATACAGATTTCATCAAGGAGGACGATTGGTTCAGCTAAGCTGTTGAATGGATTATACATTCTTCAACATGATGATGAAATACAAAGATATTCTGTCAATTCGAGTTCTTGTAATAATACTGTAACGCCCGGCCGCTTCAAGAATCAACGACTATCTCCACATACTAACACGAGACTTTTCAGTGTGCTTTTTCCTCACTCGCACACTTCCCGGGAAAACTTTCCAGGAGGTCACCTATCCCAGAATTTCTCCAAGTCAAGCACGCTTAACTATGGAGTTCTTCTGTTCCGGGCTACCGAAAAGCAGATGCATCTTGTTAGTATAGGTAGTACCAATTAATTCTTATAAGCTATCCCAAACTGTGCAGCCTCATACCTACATAGTCTTTCGAATCCCTCTCTTTCGGGTGTCGATTCGATTCATTCGTTCATGTAACCCCCAGCTGGAAGCCTGTCAGGAGCCGCTCCTTGTCCATGCCCTTTCGCACCGGCGATCACTCCCCGCCCTCGTCAGCCCTCGGGATGTTACAAATACAACCTCAGATCAAGAAGAAAATCACCCATCTGATTCTGTTCTTAAAGCCATGTACTTACATTTTCCCTTTATTTCTTGTAAAAATACAATTCCTTGTGATACATGTCATCTTTCAAAGCAAAAGAAATTTCCTTATTCTCTTAGTTCCATCAAAAGTATAAAACCTTTTGAATTAATTTATGCTGATATTTGGGGACCCTATTCTATTCCTTCAATACACAATCATAGATACTTCCTTACCATAGTTTATGATTTCAGTCGATTCACATGGATCATACTAATGAAATGTAAATTTGAAACTAGAACAAATGTCAAAAAATTTATTAGTTTTGTTCAAACTCAGTTCCAATCAACAATAAAAACTTTAAGAAGTGACAATGGAGTTGAGTTTTCAATGAACGAATTTTTCCTTAGCAAAGGAATTGTACATCAACAATCTTGTGTAGAATGGCCCCCACAAAATGGAATAGTTGAGAGAAAACACCAACACATCCTTAACATTGCTAGATCCTTATATTTTCAAGCCAATCTTCCATCAAACCTATGGTGTTTTGCTGTTACACATGTTGTTCACATCATGAACAGATTATGTTCTCCTCTTTTACAAAATAAATCACCATATGATTTACTCTATTCTGAACCTCCCACTTTAATTCATTTAAAAGTCTTTGGATGTCTTTGTTACACTCTACCTGAGCAATAGGAAAGAGAGAACGAAAAGAACAATGAAAATGGGTAAAAGTTTCAACATTATTCAAGCAATGAATTGGTTACATTCTTCTGACTTTTATACTTCACTTTGATACCCACATAGTACCCAAGATACATCCCACGTGACTCTAACTATCTAGCTCTAACTAACCATTCTACACACATGTGACACTAACTATTACAATCACTTACGCCATTCACTAACAGCCTTAAGCCCCTAACAATATAGCCTTAGCAATGTTCTTCATCAGTTACTGTACGTAACACTCGATCCTCCTTTGACAGGAACCTTGTCCTCAAGGTTCAAGGACGGATAGTGAATTTTTAAGGCATCTTCAGTCTCATGAAACAAATTTGGTAAGGTTGGTGCCGCACCATGTTCTCCACGAAACAGCGTCAAGACAGAACATGGACAGAAGGGGAAAAAATTGATAGGCAGCAGAGCTTGGAAAACAACAAAAATGAAGGGTCTTCCTGGGTCCCAAGGAAAATAATCCATACAGTTATTCTGACCTGACGACATCAACAACAAATAGTGGAAAATGGACATCATGTAATGGAATAGAATCCACTGGTAGTGTTTGGAAAACCCAATGTTGATCTTGTTGTGAATCTCTATAGCTAAAAACGTGGGTATGCTTTGGAATGTATCAAACAACCCTTGCATCCCCGCTAACGAACGATCTGGCTCAAAGGCAGGAATCTCCATGCGAACAAACTTCGACAGCGAACGCGGATCAACCGTTTGGGTCCTTCCATGACGATGTGGAAGTGAGTATTTGTCAATTGGATCAAGAGACGACCGAGAGATAAAAGACTTCGACGGTGAAAGCAGATCAACCGTTTTTTTCTTTCCATGGCTGTGTGGGTTTGAATGTGTCTCTGTTTGATCATGAGAAGGTTTATGATTTTCTTGAAAAACAACAAAAATTGATTGCTGAGAAAGCTGATGAAACAGGGGACGCAGACCCGCTGAATCACTTTGCTCATAATCTTGCACTGAAACTGGTTCTTGAGAAGATGGTTGAGTAGGTGGTTGTATGATCAGTGGTCTCATAGCAAGAAGATGCTTATTG